GTAGATGTAGATGTATATGTATATGTATATGTATCTGTATCTGTATCTGTATCTGTATTTGTATCTGTATCTGTATCTGTATCTGTATCTGTATATGTATATGTATATGTATATGTATATGTATATGTATATGTATATGTAAATGTAAATGTATATGTATGTATGTATGTATGTATGTATGTATGTATGTATGTATGTATGTATATATGTATATGTATGTCTGTCTGTATGTATGTATGTATGTATGTATGTATGTATGTATGTATGTATGTATGTATATGTATGTATGTATGTATGTATGTATGTATATGTACATGTATGGATATCCATAAGTTGATTCAACAAACCTGCCACTATATTTGATTGATACTTGCATGTAGTTAGCATTAGAAGTGATTTGTTTCCATCGAAGCCCGAGTTATAAGGTTGCGTGCTGCAGTTTGCATCGGCCTTTCCAAAATGGAGGAGACAATGCTCGCCCCGGGGTACCCTGGCACTAGTGAACGATTTTTTTTCGAGTATACGTTTAGTATGAAGGCATAGAATTTAAGGTCACATTCAACACGTGTGTTGCCGAAACAGGCGTCTGTTCTCAAGCAATGAGACGCTGCAGTTCGAGAGCTACTATATGCTCTACCGGTCATCCTACAACAAATTGGCCGAGCAGGCCGTGGAGTCGAGGGTTTGCCGGTGGGCTGTTCGCCCCAAATGCCATTACTACGAACACCTCGTATACGATATGAGGGATCTGCAGGATCGCGCCTTCAACGCGCGGCACTTCGCGAACTTTCAAAATGAAGATTGGATTAGACGCACGAAGCAGCTTGCAGTGAAGTGCCACCAAGCGCACCTTTCAGCGCACATCACCTTCAAGTACATCCTACAATGCACGCTGCAATGGAGGTGAAAACTATGTGATTGCAAATGCAGCACATGCATGCATATACTGGCCGGGGCATGTCAAGCATGCTATACAAGAATTGCTGTTGATGTGCTCGCTTCGCCCCCTTAAGGTAGCATTCACGCCATTGGAATAGTTAGCAGCCTAATTATAAACACTTTAGAGCTTTCCTTAACTTGCAAATCTCAAATTCTTTAAACCCTACACCCTAAACCCTAAACATCGATAGCGGATGGATCTTTCGATCGGCTGCCTGCAGCATTATAATGAGAGGTTCGAGTGGACCTTAGAGGTTTCAGGCTAGTTTCGATGTGCTTAATCATCCGAGGATCTGTGGATGCAGCTTGCTCAAATGCACCGCAACTTGGAGTATTTTATACCCGATAAACACCCTCAAAAGTACGAAGGTACAGCCCCTCAGCCCTAAGAAACCTGGGTTTAAGGTTTAGGGGTTTCCACAAAGGCGTGTTGCAGCCGAGGATTAATTTATGATTTATATGGGGTGGCCACGAAGCAAATTTACAGCTCCTCGGCTATTCTGACGATACTGAACGTGTCGTGAGCTCCCGGCCATGTGTGAGCTATAAGGTCCTGGCAGATACGTGTGAGGACGCTTTCGGATTTCGTTGCCTTTACCTCGCAAAGACAAAGTGGGCTGGAGCTGCACGTGACAATTTTCGCTTCTCTCATTTCATACGGACTATATTATATCTGACATAATTAAGGTACATTAATATTCAATTATGTTTATATGTATGTATGTGTATATATATGTTTATAGATATTCTCTCTCGATAATTTCTGAATTTTCTATTCGAGGATCGCAAAGATCATGCCTGGCCGAGCCAGGGCTCGAACGGTCGGCCGTACATTGCAAATATACATATATACCATATAATTATAAGAAACTATCACATATATATATATATATATATGATATATATGATATATATATATGATATATATGATATATATGATATATATGATATATATATATATATATATATATGATATATATGATATATATATATATATGTACATATATGTATATATACAAGACAAGCAACATCTCTTGCGGACCTGGATCCCCCCCCAGCTGCCGGGGGCTCCTGCTCGCAACACGTCGATACACTCCGAGCTGATGAGCCTCCCGGGCTGGGCTCCGTCAGCGTCCCCATAGACAATTCCGATAAATTCCATAAATAAGCTTTATACATGCACATACACACATATACATATACATACATATACACAGATATGTGTGTATATATATATATATGTACAAGCATGATATAAGCAATTTGGGCAATTGTGGGATGGTTTATCATGAACAAATACATAAAAGGACTATCGATCTGCTTTACCTTCGCGTATGTAAAAGAGTACCCCGCAAGGAGTCAGTACATCCTCGCAACTTCATGCGGCATAGACTTCTCTATCTAGACTTGTTATGCGGGAAAATGCATCAGATCATTAGTCGCCAGGAGATGTTGATGCTTTACCGGCCCACTCCCCTCCGAACTTCCAGATTATCAATCATGCTACGGGCTGCTGTCCTAGAATCCTTGTCTACTTGCCTGCGTGATGCAAAAACTCAAAGTGGCTGTGAACATACATATCCATATATATACTTTTTTACTATACTAAACTATTCTATTGGTAGCTGAAAAACCCCAAGATCTCGACTGAAAACAATGCGGTTCCATGTCGTTTTTGCCCAGCAAATCTTGGAAGAGTCGAGCCTTCGACTTCCACACTTGGTTCCTTGCAGAGCAGTATATACACACACACATATATATATATATATACATATCTATATATATATATATGTATGTCTATACATATGTATGTATATATATATATACACATTTCATTACATCATGTAAACAAATATATAGATAGATAGATAAATAGATAGATAGATAGATAAATAGATAGATAGATATACATATATGTACTGATATATGTAGGGTAACGGGAGTGAGACTGACCTGTTTGCATACAGGTGGGAGAAGAAAGAAGTGTCTGCCTTTTGGCCTGGCTATCCGCTCTGTTAAACTCCCTAAAGGACTGCCAGACCCAAATGACGGGCCCATGCCAACACTCACAGAGTCTACTGAAACCCCATGTCTGCAAACACACTTCTGCAGTCTTCGAAGCTGCGGCTCAGAACCTAAAGAAAAGCTGTCTGAAATTGAAGGATACTCCTTGTAGAAATGTTTTCAAAAACAGAAACGAACATACTGAATAATGCAGCAATCGCAAGAACAGGTAAGTGCTGAGGTGCAGCTTTGCGGCATGGAATGCACATAATCAGCCGTCTTCTTGGCCACTGCCTTCCACACAAGACAGCTGGCAGCGCATCGAAACGCAAGTCCCCTCAAAGCCTTAAAATCAAAGGGGCTCGACAGATCTACGTAATCTGCACACTTGCAAATTGCCTGGGAGTTCGAGAGCCCTCGTGCACTTACACTGCCCACGGCGGCACGGAGCTTCTGGACCTCCGAAGACAAGGCGGTCAGGCTCTCCGAGATCGAGGTACCGTTTGCAGCGCTGGCGGCGCTGGGGAGAGCCATCCGAAGGCTTTGAAGCCGGATCTGGAAAGCTTGCAGACTTCGCTGGGCCGCGGTGCGGGAGGAGGCCGGAAAGCTGCCCGAGAGCAGGCTCTGCATCTCCTCAAAGCTGCGGCGCAAGCCAGCTGCAATGGCACGCTCCGATAGAAGGGTTGTTGATTCGCCCACACCCCGTGCATCCAAGAGCTTTTCGATGTTCTGCTCCAGCTGCCCGCCGCTCCCTGCACGATACCAAGCAGTGGAAGTTTCATTTTTGTGTTTTGCAAAGCTTTGGCTTCACCTCTTTCTGAGACTTTGGTTCGCCAACTGCTTTTGGAAACGCAGCATTAGAACAGCAGGATGGCGACTTCTTTCTCTGATTATGAAGATGAAGATGAAGATGAAGATGAAGATGAAGATGATGATGATGATGATGATGATGAGCATGGTTATTACTACTACTATTATAGCTACTACTACTACTACTACTACTACTACTACTACTACTACTACTACTA